TTTGCATTTTTTTATCCTTAACTCATAAGATATTAATCAGAGTCATTCATTTAATGAACAATTATAAAAGTTATTATAAGAAAAGTAATTATTTAAATATCTAAATTTAAAAATCTCATAAACATCTCGGGACATCTAATAAAGGGATAAGAAACAAATAAAATGAGATAAAATGAGTAATATATATAGGTGGCTCCATACAATAAGTGTATATCAATCTGATCCAAAATTACCAAATTTTATGTTTTTTCTTGTTTTATTTTACTGTTCTCTTTCTTATTAATTAAATAGTTGGTTGAATTCCAAAATTAACCTACGTTTCTCACATGCTTAAAGTTTCATTACTAGTAATTGCATGTTGAATTTTATAACATCTTATCAATTTTATTAACAATAATTGCTTCAAATTTTACCGTTCCCTTTCTTATCAAAAAGCAAATTGTATGTTACCGTTCTCTTCATACTTCATGAGGTCTCGCGGGTCTTGCCTGTAGGTCGTGATGTGCCCCGAGATGGCCGTCTCCTGTCCCCATACCCGTGGGGAATCCGCTCCCCGGTTGTCGCTCTGCTGCGTCTGGCCCGTCCTCTAGATACCTTACACGATTTGAGTTTAAAATGTTAACTGTCAAAATCAATTATCTTATAAAAACTGTTCTCAAAAAAAAAAAAAAAAAAAAAAAAAAAAAAATAATAATAATAAATAAACCTAAAGTTTAACCAAAAGGTGGAATAAAACGAAAAGAAGGTGTACTTTTCAACTAATGGCTGCCACAATAGTTTTTTAAAGGCATTTGCTGATGTTGTTGCCGAGCAGAAAATAATGATCTTTTTTCAGCAACAGTGGATAATCCATCAAATGCGGTTGAATGGGCAATTGCGGAGATGATAAACCAACCAAAGATATTCGAAAAGGCAGCAGAAGAGTTGGATAAAGTGGTTGGAAAGGAGAGACTAGTCCAAGAATCCGACCTTTCACAGCTTAATTACATCACAGCTTGTGCAAGAGAAGCCTTTCGCCTCCACCCTGTTTCGCCATTCAATATTCCTCATGTCTCCATTACCGATACAACAGTTGCAAATTACTTTATTCCGAAAGACAGTCATGTTATATTAAGCCGAGTGGGTCTCGGCCGGAACCCTAAGGTTTGGGATGAACCACACAAGTTCAAACCAGAACGCCACATCAAGAATGATGGGTCTGGAGTGACACTTACTGAGCCTGATTTGCGTTTCATTTCAGATTTGCGTTTCATTTCATTTAGCATGGGAAGACGCGGGTGTGCAAGGGTGACAATGGGGACTTCAATTACTTTGATGCTATTTGCAAGACTTCTTCAAGGGTTTACTTGGAATGTCCCTCGTAACGAGACCAGTATTGATCTTAAAGAGTCTGAGAGTGATCTAACACTTGCTAAGCCATTGGTTTTACTAGCAAAACCACGCTTGCCTGCGTATGTATACGATCAAATCATGCATGATAACTAAGAAATGACATATATGGATTTGAGCCTTTAAACTTCTATTTCATATTAAGCCATGCACTTTTTGATCATTAAGTTAATAAGTTATTAGTCTGATCAGACTATCTAATTTGTATTTTTCAGGTTTTTTTTATCTTTGAGCAGCTTTATCCATATGTTTAGATTTGTAAACTTCATATTTTAAGATTAAGCAGCAAATAGAAAATCCCTTAAATGCATAAAAAGCTTGACCTATCATGGTCATCTATTGACTTGAAATTGTATTGTTTTATCTCTAGTTTTATTCATGCGACTAAATGGCCGAAAAAATGATTCGGAATACACAGCAAGAATAGTTTATCTTCTTATTTTTCGGATCAACGAAGGAATAAGCATAATAGGATAAAATAACTTCAAGTAGTTTGTGGTATTCATTAATCTGAACCTTGATGTCTATGTCTCCTGACATCTCCCATCTGTAAAAGTTTCCAATGACAAACTTTTGCTTTCCGGCAACTTCAAAGGTTTATTTGGTAACCATGGAATATTTCCTTAGCCTCCTTGTAGGACGAGTAAACATCAAATACATCATTAGACAGTGTGTCGAATGATAGTATGTCAGCATACTTTGTTGGCATGAGTTCAAAGCTCCTGGAGTTTTGGATCAACAAAGACAGGGGGCTTAGGGTTAGTGAGGGCAGCAGCAACGCCATGCATATGCAGGGCACTGGCATTTTCAGGTGCTGGAGGAGCAATGGGCCATTTTCAGGTGCTGGAGGAGCAATGGGCGCGGAGGAGTTGTTGACGGCAGAAGAGGAAGTCATAATCCTTTTAGATTGTAGAAAGAATCCTAACCTGAAACATGCGAGAGCATTATTTTAAAAGGATTATTTCGCAATCACAGCAAAGAGATAAAAAGCAATACGAAAACCTTTCCAGGATTTAACAGGTTCTTCTCAATCGAATTTTTTTCAAGTAGAACTAGCGATATATTAATACTACCCAGCAAAAGATATTAGAAAATATTTGCAATAATGAAAAAACTGTTTCGTAAACCCTCAATGTTCACAAGTAGCCAAAAAAATAATAAAACATAGCTTGAATCAGGTAGCTTGAATCGGGCTCTTTGGGGGGGTGGGGGGGGGGGCGCGGAATTCCTCTTAGTTAAAGTTCAACCTTGTGCGCGCGGCCCAACACTTATACAGCTTTTACCCTAAGCACCAATTCAAACACCTCTGTTAATTTTTACTAGCCCAATATCAAACACCTGTTAATAAACTTCTTTAAAGGAGTTCTATTAGGCACTCTTTATTAGGGGTAAGCAAACTTTGAAAAAAAACCTAAAACCGAACAGAATCAGATTATTTTCTATTTTTGGTTCGGTTATTTTATTTTCAGTTTCAGCTTTGATTTGAAATCTTCCATAATTTCTATTTTCGATTTTTGGATCTGTTATTTCCAAATATTTATTTTTTTGAATAAAACCGAACTATTTGACCAAACCGATGCCTACCGAACCAAACCTACCAGTTTGGTTCAGTTTCAAAGAAAGTCTATTTTTGGTTTTCGATTTTTGCAGTTGGTTTGCACACTCCTACTCTTTATCCAGATCGTATGGAAGTATCTATAATTATTTTTGTTCAAATTTTTTACTTGACAATGTCAATATTAGGAACGGTATATTGTGGAAGCCTGATGGCTTGGGTGTAAGTCTTGGTACTGTTAAGATTTTCCTTAACTAACATTAATATCAATAAAAAATAATTAAATTTGCTGATAAAAAAACTTCTATTTCATATAAACAGACTATATAATTTTTATTTTGCAGGTTTTCATAGAATAATGAATAAAAAGTTGCAACCTTGAGCAGCTTTTACCCATGTTTAGATTTGTAAACTTCAAATTTTAAGATCAAGCACCAAATAGAAAATCCCTTAAATGCATAAAAAGCTTGACCTACCATGGTCATATATTGACTTGAAATTTTATGATTTTATCTCTAGTTTTATTCATTGGAGACTAAATGGTTGGAATAATATTATTAACTACTTAGTAAGGATGACCCTCCTATTTATTACTCTCTCCGTTCTAAAAAAATAGTTCATCTTTTCTTTTAAATTTGAAATATAGTCCAATTTCCTTTTTTGCATTATAACTAATCGTTAAATTGTCTATTGTATCCTTATTAAATTTTATTTTACTTTAAATAACCCTCTTTAATTCTTACTTATTATTGCAATACAATAATTGTTAATGTGTTATTTAAGACGGGAATAATAGGAAACTTATATAAATAAAATTGTTTTTAAACTATAATAATTGTTATTTTTTAATCTATATGAAAATAGAAGGTATGTTATCTTTTTAGGACGGAGGGAGTATTTATTTTGTTTTTGGTAGAATCCTCCTCTTTATTAATTATTCCAATACTAAATTTCTATTTAAAGCTTGTTAGTTGTTATTTTCTGATCAAGGAAAATATTAACCATAATATATATATAAATACTTACTAAACAACGGAATACCAGATTTTTGAATAGGGTAAAATCCGAATCAATACACTCGGTTTTAATCAAATAACTTGTATTATCATTGAAACACCATCGTAATTTTATTTTCGAAACTTTTAGAATTTTTATTAAATTAAAAATTAGAAATTTTGACTGTGTGGACTGCAAGTACTGTATAATTTTAATCCGTGTCCAAATTCACTGATTGGACCCAAGCCCAAAGTATAGTATCACAACTTCTAATCGAGAATTTTCTAAACTTCTTAAGAATTATATTGGTGTTAAATATTAAATTAATAAAAATAAATTAATCGGACCCATAAGCGAGTTTTGATTTTTTGAAAACCAAGTGAAAAACCTGCAAACCGAGCAAAAATTGAATCAAATCACTGAATTAGACCAAACCGGATCGAATCGAACCGGAATGGTCTAGAAGCCGACTTTCTTTCTTTTTCCTCTTCTTCTTCTTCTTCTCCAGCGCGCGTCCCTCTCCTCTCTCGTTCCGACCACCTGAGCTCCTCGCCGTCGTCTCCTCGCTACAGTTGTTCTGGCATCCTTTCTCTGCTCTCTTCTTGTTTCTGGCGTGCATAGAAGACGCAGGAGGGTGCGACCTCCTTCGATTGGGGAAATCGCATCGAGCCTCCTGTTCCTCGGTTTCTGGCGACATCGATCTCTCTTCCGTTGACGGCGAAGCTCCAGCCTTCCCTTCACCCTTTTCTACGTCTCCGGTGAACGCAGCGTCGCAGGTACTGCGACTTTGCTTCGATCGTATAGTCGCGTTGCAGCATCTCTTTAGTCTTTCAGCGAGCCCGTTCGGGCCAGATAGAGGACCGATCTCGCGCAACTATCGCCAAAAACAGACTCCTGAGGGAAAACCGAGCAAGATGGTGTGAAGACTGTTCGGTTCCGAGTAGCCACGACTTTTCGGCCACCATGAACGGCGGCGGAGGCGGCGGTCTAACTACCGGCCGGCGAGTGTTCGGGTTAGACCCAAAGAGGCGGAATCGTCCCCTGCTTGCACTGATCATGGAATCTTCATTCGACTTTCCATCGGTACACTTAGGCTTGGCCAAGGTTCCGGAACCGGCGGTTCCGGTTCCAGAAAAACTGGAACCGGAACCGAACCGAAAAGGTCCGGTTCCGGTTCTGATTTCGGTTCCGATCCGGTTACAGAACCGACGGCTCCGATCGGTTTTCCGGAGAATCGCATAATTTTAAATTTTAAATTTTGAAGACCGGTTTAAAAAATTTAATAAATTTGTGAAAGTTATTTGTAAAAAAAAATACACCTAAAAATTAAAAAATATTTGTAAATAAAAAAATACACTAAAATTAAACAATCTTTTTTCAATTAAATTTATTTTTTTAAAGATTAACATAATTTATTTTTTAAAAAAAATTCTTCCAACTGATTTATTTTTATTTAAAAAAGTTTTTGACATAATTTTAAAAAAAAAAAAAGGCTTGAACTTAATTAAAAAAAAAAAAAACACAAAATGACAGTTTCTTAATAATTAATAAATATATTATTAAATATATAAATAATATAACATTAACTTCAAAAACACACAAATATTTATAAGTGTATATCATAATGTGCATGGATGTTGGTGGCAGCTGTATTCTAAGCAGGTCACTCTTTTAGGCAGGCTGCATGATTGAGGCCCTCACAAGAGTTGCAAGCTAGCGTTGCAGAGCTCAGCGGGTAAACAGGCCTTCGCAGTTTGTGGAGAGCGCTAGAACCGCTCGGTTCGAACGGCGGTTCTAACCGGCCGGAGAACCGGCGGTTCCAGTCTGGTTCCGACCGGTTCTCTGAAACTGCCGGTTCTGGTTCCTAATTTTTTGGAACCAGAATCGAATCGAAATTTTCCGGTTCCGGTTCTCACCGGTTTCGGTTACGGTTTCGGACCGGTTCGGCCCGGTTTCGGTTCTCACCGGTTCTGATTACGGTTCCGGACCAGTTCGAACCGACGGTTCCGGTTCCTCGAACCGACGGTTCCGGTTCCCGGAACCGACGGTTCCGGTTCCCGGAACCGTAATATGGCCATGTCTAGGTACACTAAGACCCAATTCTTATTTTTTGTATAAATTTCGAATTTAATTGATTATTTAAATGATTTAATTAAATAACAAGAAATTAGATTATTGAAATAGTTTATATGTAAATAGTATATTTTTAGTCTTTAATCGAATATGATCCTCGTTAGAGAATCTCATTAGATAAATATATTAAATCTTGAAAATTTAGACTACAAGTCATTTAGAATAATTGTTATAAATCAAAACGTGAAGATAATTTGGAATTAGTTAGTTAGTTAATTAGTATAATCATTAGCTTAAAACTAATTGGTTGTGCATAAGAAAAGTAAATGATTGAATGAATGAATAATGGTTTGGCAGACATGATTAGTTGTTTTGGATTGCCCGAAGGATGGGCTTTGAGAATTTATTTTTGAGTTGGGTTTAATCAAATTTTAGGAGAGGTTTTGCCGAAATCTCGATAGAATCTAGGTAATCACATATAACAATTAAGTTAATAGGTTTATTTAGATTAATTCTATATTTTGAAATATTTAAAATAAAGTTCTTTATTTATTTATATTATTTATTTATGTATTTATTTTTCAAGAACCAATTATTATGTTATATTATTATTTGAATTGGCATTTGAATGTTTATTTGAGCCCTTGCATGCTAGTGATTACTTGATATGCTTGCATTTAATTGCAATGTTTGATTATTTGTGTTGTGATATTGCTATGCTTTGTT